CTAACTACTTTATGATTGACTACAGAGCACATTGTTTATGATATCATGTAATTCTTTTTTCAGATTTGTCCTACATACAAAGTCTAGTGAGACTTTACAAACATCCGGAATAAACAACAGCAGTGGTAATAACTAACAGTACACATTATAGCTCAGTGCTTTTTCATGCGATAAATCATAAATAGGATGGCAGATACAACCTAACTCTAAAAAAACGAATGCAGACTAGTGTTGCTTGACATAATGTACACAAAATCTATCAAATAATGGAAAAGGGGAAGACAATATATATAAATGCATCCTGTGGCAGCGCGCTTGAGAAGAGATTCAGTTCCAAATAATGATCTCAATAACAAAACATAACGAATTATAAGTTTTACCAGAAAATACAATGTTATATTTTTTTTTAAAGATGTCTACCATCTTTACAATGAAGGCTGGCTTAAGTGCGCCCACTGTTGTCTCTGGGAACATTACATGGTAAGGGAAGAATGGCTGGCTTCAGTGCGCCCACTGTTGTCTCTGGGAACATTACATGGTAAGGGAAGAATGGCTGGCTTCAGTGCGCCCACTGTTGTCTCTGGCAACATTACATAGTAAGGGAGGAATGGCTGGCCGAACGGTTAGAACACTAAGCTCTCATGTGGGAGACCCTGATTCAATTGTTCTTTCTTTTTGTCCGTGGCAAAAATTAAATCCTCCTCTGCAGTCTATAGTAACAATACAAGCCATACGACCCTTAGTCCTCAGGCTCAAAGATGCCCCTGACAACACAAGCCATGTGGCCCTTAGTCCTCAGGCTCAAAGGCCCCCCTGACAACACAAGCCATGTGGCCCTTAGTCTTCAGGCTCAAAGGCCCCCCTGACAACACAAGCCATGTGGCCCTAAATCCTCAGGCTCAAAGATGCCCCTGACAACACAAGCCATGTGGCCCTAAATCTCTGGACTCAAAGATGCCCCTGACAACACAAGCCATGTGGCCCTAAATCTCTGGACTCAAAGATGCCCCTGACAACACAAGCCATGTGGCCCTAAATCTCTGGACTCAAAGATGCTCCTGACAACACAAGCCATGCGGTCCTAAATCTCTGGGCTGACAACACCACAAAAGAAGTAAATACAGGCAGTAATTGGCAGCTGGCAGTGACAAGGTGAGATCCAAATTTCAGCAATGGTAAGATTCTTGTATTGTTGCCCGAAAACCATGAGAACAGTTTTTTGTTTTCCATGGAGATCAAAGCCAAGTATTTAACTCTTTAAATACCAATAGATTTTGCATTATATTTTATAGGGTAGCAACAGTAACAGTGAAAATAAAATGTAATAACCTCACTGTAACAGATACACATATACCTAGTTAGAGCACTACAATAACCAGTCAGGATTCTTCAATATACTTAGGCCAAACATCAGATCACATTGTTGGTTGCTTGGTACACATGGGCAATAGCTCATCACACACGATGTGTTGGTTAGGGGTATTAGGGATCATAAATTGTTAAACATACTCACTAACCTTTAAGCCACACATAATTATCAGTTTTTCAATAATTGACCTGAGGCTGGCTCATCAGTTGATCCAGCCATAAAATAAAGAAAGCAAAGCCTAAAATGGATACCAAGTAATGTCCTGGGAAGTAAAGGTACCCAGTGGGATGCTGGACCATCACCCATCAAATACTTATTGGTCTAAAGTAAAAACAGGTCTAACATAGGCACTATTAGTTAGTTAGTCTTTCTTCTTGGGTCTAAGGCAGTGTATAGGGCAAAGGTCATAACTCTCCATGTCTGGAGGTTCATTGCAGCCTGTTTTAGGTCTTGGATGTTTGTTAGGCCTATGGTTGAGCCTTTCCTGATGATGGTTCTACATAGTCTATCTTGATCTTCCCTATTTGTGTCCATAAGAGGGCTTGATGGGGAAGTCTTGTCTTACCCATTCTGAGTGCATGTTTACTTCTAGCTAGCCTAAAGACTGTTGATCAACGACCCGACAAGTCGCCATCGTAAACGATACTTTCTTTTAGAATAAGATTTCTAGCTCTAAATATTATGATAGAAACAATATAGGCGCAAAATGGGTTCTTTCACACTTATCTGGCCAATGCAACTGGCTGGATCACGAACAGTAATTCTTCCTGATCCAGATAGTATTAACTTGAAAATGTAAATGGCCTAGACTGAAGGGAGTTAAAAAGATCACTTATTGTGTGTGACAAGATCTGAAAAGCTTACTACCTGTGGCAGGAGTTAAATAAGATAATCTATGGCAGGTTTTAAATAAGATTATTATCTGCAGCAGGTGTTGTATATGAATATCTGTGGCAGAAAAAAAAAAGATGCATATCTGTGGCATGAGGTAAATAAATAATATTGCTATCTATTGCAGGAGTTAAGGCTGTGGCAGGAGTTAAACATCATTTCTGTCTGCGACACACACACATTATTCTAGTCATCCCCCAGCGGGATGCAGTTTTTCGGTTTTTTTAAGCCCCACTTTGGCCCTTGCCAGGAGCCGCAATATAGAACGGCCATAAATATGGTCTAATGGCTGAACGTGGTTTCTGGGACCTCTCCATGAGTGATCCTCATCCACATGGTGGCACATTGTGTCATTGGGTGTTTATCGCTTGTGTGATGTCCTAGTGGGGTAAAATTTACTACTACTACTACTGCAACATTAATTTAAAAGGATCACTGTCTGTGGCAGAAATTAATTAAGATTATTGTCAGGAGTTAAATATGATTGCTACCTGTTGCAGATGTTCAATAAGACTGCTATTTGTGGCAGAAATGAAATACCAGTCTAATTACATTCAATCTATCCTAATGAGAAAGATCACTATCCACTCAAATTACAGTCTATGTTTCCTAATGAAGATGACACCATCCAATCAAATTAAGCTTATGATTTAAGTTTCCTTAAAAAGATGGCACCACCCAATCAAATTAGACTTACGATCTACATTTCCTGATGAAGATGACACTATCCAATCGAATTAGGCTTACGATCTATGTTTTCTAATGAAGATGACACCATCCAATCAAATTAGGCTTACGATCTACATTTCCTAATGAAGATGACATCATCCAATCAAATTAGGCTTATGATCTACATTTCCTGATAAAGATGACACTATCCAATCAAATTAGGCTTATGATCTACGTTTTCTCATGAAGATGATAATATCAAATAAAATTAGGCTTACACTCTAAATTTCCTGTTAAAGATGACGCTATTATGTATATCCTAGGGCCATTCAGTGAAGTTTACTAAGGAGTCAAACTGTTGGGAAATAGGGATCCTCACTGGCCAGAAACCTGAGCCCCGACATAGAAAGACCAATATTACAACAGAACTGTCAGGTGATCCACAGCCACTTGTTAGACCTCTACTGGCTAAATTTAGCCTGCGAGCGGTCAGCTGAATAGTCGTTTTCTAGGGTAAAAGTTCAATACCTAATCAAATTACAAGTACACTGTAGTGTGAAAGATTATTATCCAATTAAATTACATGTAAAACCTAGTATGAAATTTACAGATAGTCTAGTTCATTTAATTTCCTAGGCCTCTCAAGATTTGTGCAGCAGACAATTGGGAAATTCTTTTCCTTTTCTTTTCCTTTTTTTTTTTTTCACCACTGCTAGCTCCAGTAGAAAAATCTTAGCTGTTTGTCCACCTGTACTTTGCTTTTGTGCCAGGACCTGAGCTTTGCATGTATGTCCATTTTACTGGCTTATTCCTTGCTACTAAGGCAGATGTACTCTGACTTCAAAGGATGTCCCCAATTAGTCGACTCCTACGACATGCTTGGGCAGGCAGTAGGTCTATCCTTGTTTTCCCCACACAATGGGATCCTGGGAGCCAGATATGAAATAACTATCACTAAAAACCATGAGTACATTACTTTGAAAGTATAAATACACAGTGGAAGTGATCTGTGAGGAAGCCAGATTTGATTAACAGTTTCTGCCCAAATTAAAAACACAAATAAGAAAAACACACTATAAAATGGTTAAAATGCATGGGGAAAAGCCAAAAACATCAAACATTGTTTGGCTTGCTTAGAAACACACATATATACAAACAGCATGTATACACACATGTATTCAACATATATTGTATTGTTTATTGTTTGATAATATTGTAACAGGCATGTTTGAATTTGATTATTTTTCTAAAATAAAAGCTATTGTTTTAAGAAATATGCATTATTATTTATAATATATACAACCTTTTAACTAAGTGAAAAATATAGAAAGACAAAAAAATTCACAACCAATGGCAGCTAGTAATATTCTGTTACTAAACATGTATGCACATGCATAAAATGTACAAACACTGGAACATGCAGAAGTAACATGTACTGCTAGATCTAATGATCTATGACAGTTTTGTCATCCTTGATTTCATGATCCCTTTTGGTTTCTTTGTCTCTTGAAAATAAACAGATGTCATGCTAGAAACTTGGCAGAGATACGTTCAGTGATTTAAATATCAACAAGAAAATACACTATGACAAGTGTAAATATAATTGATGTCTTTAAATAAAACACAAGCAGTTCTTAGAAATAGTACATTAGGTGCTTAAAACATTTGGGAAACTATACAGAAACAGCCAGATAAGCAGTAATCTACATTAGTCAGTATTAAAGAAAACAAGATGTACTATGCACGTTGTTCATTCCCCCTCATGATTTATCCTTCCTTTTTGCCTTATTTGCTTTTCCTTCTTTTTTTCTTAATGGTTATGGTGGCTTGTATATACTTCAAGACTAATTCATATAAGAGATACCTAATTACAGCCTGTACCCTTTATAAAACATAAGAGATGTTTGATTAATTTCCTTCAAGCAGTTTGTATCACAAACATTTGCTGATATTCACATTTTAAAATGCAAAACTAGGTAAGTTATTTGTGAACACTGTAGAGTTATGTTTTGGCTGATGATCAGACCATGACCAGAATAGGCAAGTTATAACTGCACATTTTGTAATAGAGTTAGGCTTTGGCTGACGAATGGACCTCTCCTCTTGGCTGTGCTGTGCAGTAGTACTTCTTGTGGGCCAGGTATGTGGCTTGCTTTGAGAAAGAGATATCACAGTTTTGACAGTAGCGTGTTCCAACACTTCTATCATCTCTTACACTCAGAGTACTTGGTGCTGAAACTGTTCCTGGCTGGAGAGGCGACAGAAACAGATACGGAAGTGCAATCTGAGGGGTCGCGCAAGGGAAAGGGATGGAATGAGTCTGAGCAGGACTTGGTGAGAAAATGGCAGCCAAGGAGGTTGTAGTAACATGGGTATCTAATATTGGCAGTGCTGAAGAGGAAGATAATGAGTTAAGTCTGAAGCTGGTGCTGGACAACACAGGGCTGTGATTGCCATGTGGGGGAGAGCTTTCCAGAAAATTTGGTGTGCTCAGAATTGACTTTGGTGGAATGAATTCTGGTTTAGCTGCTTTTGAAACAGCTAGAGGGCTTCTTCTTTTCAGATCTGTATTTGTTGTTCCACTTGACTGGCGGCTTGTGATCCTGCTGTTTTTTTTATGTTGCATACCTGCCTTGGGATCTTCTTCAGCATCAGAACTATTTTGTCCTTGGTGGTCTGATATATCATCATCATAATGTGGTTCAAGTTTAACATGACCCACAGGGATCTCTCCGGGTTCTGTCTCAGGCTGGCTAGCATCTGAATCATGTTGACCTCTGTTGTCATGGAGCGGGTATAAGAGCTGTTGTTCATCTTGCAGACAGTTGTCTGGAGAGCCTGCCTTCCCTCTTGGGGAACTTGATGGGGAAGCACTAGACTGCCTTCTGTTGTCAAAATCATTGCTCAAGCATATGTCTGGACTCTGGTTGGGTGTTTGCAAAAAGTGATTGAGTTTAATGGATGGATCACTATCATGCTTACTTTCATCCATTGGTTCTGTCTTAACTGTTATACTGTGGTGTGCAATGGCTTCTGGACTGTCATCATTTCTGGTACCTGTTGAGTCACCACCAATACCTTTAAAATGAATTTTAGACTTTTCATTGGGTAAATTACTATCTTCTTCAAACAGAACATGTCTCTGATTCTGTGTATTTCCTATTTTCCTTTGAGACGTCCACACTCCTCGACTTCCACCTTCTCTTGGAAGACTCTGGTCCTCACTGTCAGGTGAAGATAATCGTGGCTTTTTACTTCTGTTACCACTCATGTGTTTAGAATCAATGTGAGAATGAAGATGTTCTGGTGACTTGGCTATAAAACCACAGTGAGTACATTTAACAAGTCCAACCAAGTACTGAGATGCAGTTATCTCATGTACTTTGAAATGTGATGCCAGTAAATCAGGACTGGTAAAAGTCTGACCACACAGTGGACAGATGTGAGGAATGTCACATTTTGGGAGAGGGTAATCAAATTTTTCATAAGCTTTTCGTGACCTTCGTCGCTTGTATGGCTCATTTTTTAACCTCAATAGTTCTGAGTCTGTTGTAGATCCTGGGAACGGGCTGTGGACAACAGGAATCAGAGCTGGTTCATGATATGCCAGCATGTTCTCATCTGTGAAATGGAGTCCTTCATCAATGTGTGTTTTACCATGCATTCTCATACCTCGGGCAGTGTTGCCACGGTAGCCACAAATTGTGCACCTGTAGGCTTTTGTTGGCGCATGAACCTTGAGGTGTTCAGTGAGCCTGTTCTCTGTGATTGACACATGGTCACAGTGAGGGCAAGGGAATCCGCCATCGCAGACATGCAAGCGGAGAAGCCTGGCAGAAACAAAGATGCTACTACACCTGGAACACATGAACTCATCCTGAGGCAAATCTGGTGATGCCTGGTCCTGTTCATCTTTAGGAGATGGTATGGAAACAGCTTCTGAGGATGCTGTCTGGACAATAACTGACTGCTCACTGTCTTTGCCAGCAGGACAATAGTATTCTTTGTGTGCCTCTAATATACTTGAGTTGCTGAACTTGATTCGACATGGAACACAGTAGAATTTGTATTTGATTTCACTGGAATGCTTGGGAACTGATAAACTAGGATCCTGATGGGATTCAGCTGAGTTCAGGTATTCTCTGTCCTGATCTTTCTTGATCCTCAGGGGTGGTGACTGTGTCGGTGGTGACTGTGATTGGTGAACTTGGGGTTTCATGTCACTGCTGTCAACAAGCGAGGCACTATCTATAATAGGTCCAGGCTGAGTACTCAGACGTCTTTTACCTGAACAGTAATGTTTCTTGTGGATTAAATAATTGTCATGTTTGTAGAATACAATGTTACAGTCAGCACATTTGCTGATGCCTGTAGCAGATCCTGAAGGAGAAGAGGGTGCTGATAGTTTAGCCGGGGGTGATAATGTTAGTGGCAAGGAAAGGAAATTTGTCTGAGGAACCAGAATAGATGGATGTGGAATTACTTTGATGATTGAATTAGCAGTGAGATTTTCAGATCTTGGAACTTGCAGTGAGTGTGAGCCTGTAGTGATTTTAGTTTGCTTAAAATCACCTGACTCTTTTGTGGACAAATTCTGGCATAAGGGACTCGAGGGTGGAGAGCTTGAATCCTCATTTAGATCTGTGTTTTGCTGGTAAGGGTCTGTTAAAACCTGTAATGAAGTTGGACGTACACTTTTTCTGGATTCAGATAATCTGTCAATTCTGAGTGTTGGGCTTTGCTTGGTGATTTCATTACTGCTGTCACTTTCAGATTTTATTTCTCTTTTAGTGACTGTTAAATCAAGTGGGTGGTCCTCTTCCGCAGAATCCATCTTCATAGAGATTAACTCTGATGATTTCTGGAATTCTTGCAGTGCTTGCTTGTAGTCAGCTGAAGCAGAAGCAGAGAAGTTTAAAAAGTGCTTCCGTGGCATGGCATGTGATGAAGTCAGAGAAGAAGATGCACGTGACTGCATGTCAGGAGATCTTTTAGCTGCAGGACTGGTCATATTTGCCACAACATCTTTACCAGCCACCACAGATGGCATCAGCATTGTTGGAATGGAAATAGCTATGTTGGCCATGCCGCTGGCTGTTAACACAGGAGCTGAAAGCAGTACTGCAGCCATTCCTGAGTTAGCTGTATCACTTGATGTTCCCGGCAAGATCAGACCTCCATTGGCCAGAGCTGCCATCTGTAAAGCCGAAGGAATACCCACCTTTGCAGCATCATGGAATGAAAATGGGGAATGGAACATGGCAGCAAATGCTGATGGGTCAGCCAAACCTGTCTTTCTTCTTTGGGCACAATAATGTTCCTTGTGACATTTGTAGGTATGGAGATTTGAAAACTGAATCCTGCATTCTTTGCAGAATGTCTCAGAGTTTGGAGACCTGACTATACTAACTGCTTGTTCATTCTTGCTGGATGGTGCTCTTTCCTTTGTTGAACAGTTTGGAACTCTGGCCTTCTCGATATTGTGCATGCGCATGTGGCGGTTCAAACTGTTAAGTTTATCAGCTTTGTATGAGCAGTGTTTGCACTTAAACACTTGACCGGGCCGGCCAACTTTTGCTTGTGCTAGTAAACTCTGCTGTTCGGTTAATTCAGACTGGCTGTTGGAATCACTGGTATTTTGCTTCAAAGCATGGGATCCATTTTCCAGCTGCATTTCTGCTTCTTGCTTGACTGGAGGACCTGGACAAATAATCACATACAAAAGTAAATGATTAACTGTTCTTTGTATTAATTTGTTTTTGCCTTATCATTTCAAAATATCTTAAAACTACATCATAGTATTTCAAAGAAAGTAATTATTAATAAATAATTAAAAATCATAACTTAACCAATTAGGGTCATGGAGGTGTATTGATGGAAGCACTAGCACATAAAACCTGCCATCTTTCTCAGTGTTCTGCTTGATGAATAAGTGAATGATAACTTAGTCCTGTCCATTTCTTGATGTTGTTTTTCCAGGTTCGTCTTTGCGCTCCTCTTCTTCGACTACCCCTCAGTGTTCCTTGTCTATGCAATCAAATCATGTCTCACTAGGGCCTGAGCCAACTAGCTTGCAAAGCGTCACCACTGCCAAGAAAGACTCCTGATATACTGCACATTTGTATATTTTGTCTCTGACATATTTATTAGTTTTGTGTTCTAAATAACTCATTCAATTAAAAAAAACAATAACTGTACACGTGCTTTTCACTTTACAAGTTGATGGATCTATTCTGAAATGAAAATAGTTTCAATCCATTTATTATTATTATTGTTTTTATTATTACTGCCTTGAAATACAATGCCTCTTTGTTTAAGAATTCGTATATAGTGTGAGTAAGTAAGTACATACATATGTGAGTACATAGGTAAGTCAATAAAGGACCCTCTATTGCCATTGGCAGATTAAGGACATGCTCCTAGACCCATATTATCATGACACAAATGTGCACTCAGTGGGTTTTGTGTTAATGGGTGATGTGGCACCAGATCTCTTTTACTTTTCATGACACTTCGTGATTCAGATATTAGGCATGGTGGAGCTGGAAGCTTGAGGTCAATTATTTGAAATCTCTGCATAGAGGTGAGTGAGTGAGTGACATTCAACCCCCACCAGGACCGAACAAAGAGTTATAAACACCCCATGACACAAAGTGCAACGATTCAGATGAGAATAACCTGGGCACAAGTCCCAGAACACCCTGCTTAACTGTTATGTTATATTAATGCCCCTGACAACAGTCAAGGTGGGGTTATAAAATAACAAACAAACAATGGTCCCATTATGGGGCAAAATATGCACATAGGATACATCTAAAGTAGGCTCTTACTGTACCTTCATTGATTATTCTATCCACTGTATACATTTTAAAATATTTGTTATAGCATTCTTCTATCACATTATTTAACTGACTGACTGACTGACTTTCTACCCCACTAGGACATCACACAAGCGATAAACACCCGATGACACAAAGTGCCACCATGTGGATGAGGATCGCAGTGGAGAGGTCCCAAAAACCGCATTCAGACAATTGGCCATATTTATGGCCTGCCTATATTGCAGCCCCTGGCAAAAGCCAGAGTGGGGCTTCAAAAAACAAAAAATTTTGTCTTTAAAATGACATACATTATTTAATCTATATTCCGCGCACCCCCCCCCCCCCCCCCTTTAATTCATTAAGATTCAGAGATTGTTTTATTCTAAAACACACTGATTTTTTTAGCAGACATTGTTGAAGAAATGGGTTTACCTAGGTTTGAAAATGCTAAATGTAAAAGTATTTTTATGAAACAGAAAGACAACTTTAAAGGTTTCTCACCTTCTTGTTGGGTTTTGTTCTGATTGCTTCCCTTATCCCGTTCTTTGTGTCCGATTGTAACATTTGGATCTGAAGTCTTCTTGGAGCAGTAGAAACTCAGATGTCCTTGCAAGGTTCGAGGACTAGAGAATCGAACTCCGCAGAAAGGGCATCCGTAGATTAAAGCAGCTGAAAAGCAAAGTACATCACTGTAAGTTTGTGAACTCGTGTAATAATTGTCCAAAATAATAACACATCAAACACACTGGACTCTTACAAGGGGAAATACGTACCAACAACAACAATGCCCTAAAAGATGCGTCCCCACGTGTGATGCAATTTTTCGTTATTTGAAGCCACACCCTGGCTTTTGCCGGGGGCTCTAAACATAGCCTGACCATTAATATGGCCTAACGGCTGAACGAGGTTTCTGGGACCTCCCCACGGGTGATCCTCATCCGCATGGTGGCACTTTGTGTCAACGGGTGTTTATCGCTTGTGTGATGTCCTGGTTTGGTACAACAACAAAAGAGAGAGAGAGAGAGAGAGAGAGAGAGGGGGGGGGGGGGGAGAGAAACCAACAACAAGAACAGTTACAGCAAGCTGTAAAGAGATTTATGAAGGACAAAGAATAAGTTTGACAACTCTTCTCAAGGGTTTGTCTGTGCAAATTTATCAAGGGACTGGGACTTTAGAAAGCAGCAACTACAAACTGGACAAAGGCATACTGATAAGATGTCAGTCAAAGTTCAAGGCAGTTATCATGTCTTTGGTACATGAGGCATACAGTATAAAGTTGGACCTAAATCTTTCGTACACCAGTCAGCTCTTGAATTATCTTATGTTCTCAATCCATATGTGTAACAAATATTTAAGAAAACTGCTCTCGATATCACAACAATATAGTACAGCTATAGTTAAACTTTCCAGGAATCAAAGTCACCACTTCATAATCCTGACGCGGTAACTAAAAATATTTATTTCTATGTTGTCTGTTGTGACTTCCTGTCTCTATTTCTCCCTTCTGCATCTATGTATGCAAATAGCATATTAGGATTTTTTTAAATCATACTATTTCAATAGCCTAATGGGCTCCCCACAATTGATTTATGTGTCACCTTCAGGGTTCTGTGACCTGGGGAGGGGGTGGGGAAGAAATAGACTAACTGCCCCCTGCCTCTAACAAACATATCGTACAAGGCAACTAATTAAGGATATTTCCTTTTAAGGTTAGAGTGCTTCTACCTGAAAGGTGAAAAACCAACAGTCTGCATACAAGTGATCCAGCAAACGAATGTGCATGCAAAACTGAAGTCCTGGGAAAGTACCAGATTCCAGAAGTGGAAGAACAACCAGAAGTTTACAGCTGGTGAACGCTAAGAAGAAGATTTATGTGCATTTCTGACAACCTTACCTTGGAGTTATAACTGAGCATCAATTAAAAATAAGAAGAAGACTCAAACGGTGAAACTGACCATGACCTGGAGCTGCTTGTTGTTGGTAGGGATGTTGTAAATGTTGGACCCCGCTACTGGTGTCTTCACTGGACGATGCCTCTGGTCCTTTAATCTCGGCTGTGCTTGGAGCTTCATCGCTGACTTCTTCTTCACTGTCATCGTCATTTTGGAAGGAGAATGTGGCTCTTAGTTCAGTCCCTATGTCTATGTCAGCCACAATCTCACACCATATTCGTCCACCTGGTGAAGATTTACAAGTTTACAATTTGAAAACATATTCAGTGTTACATAATTCGTCATCATTATCATGTAGCAGGTCCTATGCTGAACGTCGTTCTCATCACGGTCTGCCTGAAAGAAACTCGGTCTCTCGCCAGCTCTCCCGCCTCATGTACTTTCAAACTCAAGGAGTCACTTATATCCTGTGCCCAAATACTGTCCCGATGGCAACGAAGTCGTCTGCCGGCGAGCTAATGAACGACCTGGTCGCCGATGACAGTAGTGGTTAAAGCCAGAATTAGGAGCTGTGTTAACAAGTGTAACAAATGAAGGTAACACAAGAGGTTCAGAAAAAATTCCAACTGAAAGTTAAAAAATATATTGTGTTCTATGTAAAGGTAAAGACGGGAGATGTCAACCAGCGTCATTGCACACAGTTATAAACCATAAGTGATCTGCCACCAGTACGGACAGCTGATAAAAAAGTGTCCGCCTGTGTCGCCTTTCTGCACGTAGCTCCGTAGCTACAGCGACGTCCCTCCATTTACCCCAGAATGTCAACTCTGGTACTCATTTTCTAGAGGCTGAGTGAACCCCGGTAACCGCACGGTTTCCAACACCGGCCGTGGGCTGCAGCGAGTCACAGCTAGATTTGAAAGAGAGTCTCCTATCGACTGCGCTAACGCGGCCCCCTCGAAGATTATGTTCTCTGATACTGAATCAGTTTAAATGAACCTGTATGTGTCCCAGAGCCAAAATGTGGGGCAAACAAGAATAGACCCACTCCTCTCCAACAAGCAAGTCGTTAGAGTCAACTAATTGGGGTCTTCCTTTGAAGTCGGCCTGCTTCTGCCTGAGAGTCTAGGAAGCAACAGTCTGCATACAAATAAACCACATCTGTACAACGGATGTGTACGCAACACTCAGGTTTTGGAACAAGACTAGAGTGCAGAGGTGGACGAACAACCAGAACTTTCCACGAGAGTTACAGTAGGTGAACGAAAAGAAGAAGTTAACAGGCACAGCTACACCACCTAACGTCCTCTGATCTTCACTTCCTTTCGGGTCGTTCTGTGGGTGATGATCCTCATCTTCCTAGCGTAAACAGTTGCAGTAAATCCCTGCGGAAAGTTCTGGCTGTTTATCCTCTTTTCAACTCTAGTCTTGTTCCAGAACTTGAATTATTTACTGTGATATTCACTTTTTTTTTTTTTTTTTTGGTTGAAATCCTGTCCCACAAATGACATCAATCGCTTTCTACTTGACCCATTCATGATAATAATTTTAAAAAGAGAACTTGAATTTTGCATGCACACCCACTCTACATATCTGGCTTATTTGTATGCAGACTGTTTGTTCCTTGCCTTTCGGACATATTCACTCCAACTTTGAAGGAAACCCCTCTAATTAGTAGGGGGGAAGGGTGTGGGGGCAGTGGGTCTCCCCCCCCCCCACCCATAATGGCCCCGGAACCCATAGGGAAAGTGACATCTCCCCCCCCCCACCCCCACCCATAATGAAGCCCCGGAACCCATAGGGAAAGTGACAATCAGTACCTCAGCCTGCATCATCTTGATATGGCTTTTTATGGGCGGTGTAATCATTCATTATTCACTCAGTAGTTAAACCCGTGCTCACCTTCCCAGTAGACGTGAGTGTTCCTGTCTGTGGTGGCCGCGGTTGATCTCAGCAAGGCCAACCACCCACCCGACTGTCCTGCTACGTTCATCAACGCTTGCTGTCCCTTCTTGTTGGTGAACTAGGGACGAAATAATCAAATACTTGTGAAGTTTAAAAAAGGGAATTAAATGCAGAATAGCCTAGGTTTATATGGTTTATACAACGGATCAACATCATGGCACATGGGTAGTCACCTATACGTACTCCTTTCTACTCCTAACTCAAGCTTGAGTAAAAAAATCTCAGCGCAGTGAACGAAGTCCGTAAATTTTGACGGGCGAAACAATACATACGGGCGTCCAATCTTACTACACAGAGACCAGACAATATGTCTGTCTGTGTCAAGTAAGATGAGAAGAAGTTCTTTAAGGGATATTCACCGTATGTATTTACGTGTACACACACAGACACAATGTGTACAGCTCTCAAATAAATAAATACGTATCCTTTTTCATGCTCTCCTTGTTAACCTCATTCACTGTCCCGACATACAACCTCTGCCCCAATATGGGGAAAACAAATTTATTTTTAATTTTTATTTTAAAGCCCCACCCCGGCTGTCGTTGGAGGCCCTAATTTAACCTAACCGTGGGTCGGAGTTTCTGGGACTTGTATCCGGCGGAATTCTCATCCGAATGGTGGCACTGTGTGTCACCGGCTGTTTATCGCCCGTGGCCCACTCAAATATGGCACACCATTTTTTAATTACATTAAAGCCCCATCCTGGCTGAGCTTCAAGTTACTTCGTAGCCACGGTAAGGGGCCCTAATACAACACTGCGATTGAACGGGGTGTCTGGGCTTGCGACTAGGAGATTTTCATCAATATGGTGACACTTTGTGTTACCTGGCACTAATCGCTCGTTGTGCGGTCCTAGTGGGTGCGATTAAACGTTACTCATATTTTTGGGAGGGGGGGTGAGACAAAATGCATGCACGCAAGCGTGTCATTTAAACAAAAATTTAGCCACGCTGGACCACAGGTCACTTCGTAAATGTTATTAAGTGCTACACCGACTCACCTTACTTTTAAACTGATGAGAGCTGTGTTAACTAGCAAGAAGACAGGGAACTAAACATAACTCCTCTCTGCAACGCTTTGCGACATAAGCCGTAGGACAAAAGAAGAAGAAGAAGAAGAAGAAGAAGAAGAAGAAGAAGAATGAGAAGACCAGCTGTGTGGAGTCAATGATGGTGTACAGAAGTCAGTTATGGACAATCAGTTGATAAGTAGATAAGTAAAAAAGTGTTAGCCTCGTGCTGATATATGGAGTCCTTGACTTAGAGGAAGGTGTACAGTACAGAAACACACACAAAGAGAACGAACGAATGAACTTTATTTTCAAAGGGTCATAAATTGGGCACGCAGACCCGCCTTACATTCGGCCCTTCCAGTAAACCATCTTTCGCACAGCAGTTGTATTTTACCAATAGAGCATGTTATGATGATATGCATATTATGAATGTGATAGGAGAGAGAGAGAGAGAGAGAGAGAGAGAGAGAGAGAGAGAGCGAGAGGAGCTGGGAAAGGGGTATCCAAAACACCAGACACAAATAAGACAGAGGGTATGAGAAGATGTTTATTCTACGACAAATGTTACAAAACATGAATGCTGAAAGATTGGACATCATATCAGCGCTGATATTATGAACACAAAGCCGATATGCAGATAAAACCACAACAGCGATAACATGTGTCGCACAAGAGCGGTTCTGGTATCGTGTGACACCGTCCCTGTATGAGTCACATTGACTCGGTGATTTTGTAGGATAAACAAGCTCTTTATCTCGGCATCAAAGAAGCAAGTTCAGAGATGATTGATTTCGCCAGATGAAACAGTTTATTCGCTATGTTGATAGTCGTCCCCCACCTCACCTCCCTCACTAAATGTTATCACAAACGTTAATTTTACATAAAAAAATATATACGATTTTTCTCATCCACCAGCGACTTTTTTTTAATGAACTGGCGCTTGATAACCGCGGTGTTCAACACGAAGAGATATTTTACTTTTCAAAATATTTCACGATTCTCGTTTATCATCATCAAGTGCCTTGCCGACTGGCGTGGGCGATCCATCTCTCCACAATTTGCGCTCCAAGACTGCGTGTATCAGTTCGTGTGTTGACACCCCTCCATGCCACGATAACAGGCTGTTGAGAATCTTCTCGCACTGTCTTCCTCTGTCTCTCTTTCCACAAATCTTTCCAGCGGTCACAGCATGTTCCATTTTCCTTCTTCCTATAATATAACCAACAAATGATGACTGTCTCTTTCTGATGTTTGTGATAAGTTGTCTTCGAGCACCTGCCTCTGTCGTCCACTAAAACACCCGCTAACGTCGGTGTGTGAATACGACTGGTTTAAAGGCACGATTGACTAGGGAAAATACAACTGTGGGTTCGGTTCCCCTTACCTCCATCGTTTTATACCTGGTCAAAAAAAATCATCAGCAAATCATGAAGCGCAAAACAGAAACCCCTTCGACTGCGTCAAACAAATCCCATGATCTCTTGATGCACCGTACATCTCACAAATATAAATGTTTGTTAAATCTCTTATTTATTTCATTTGCCTGACTTCATGTTCTGTGCCTTAAAATATGTTGACAACAACTGCTAAGACTTTTGGACAGCGCTTTTATCACCAGTTAAAAAAGAAGATGGCAGAAGATGACACATATTTGTGTGTATGTTGTGTTTTGTTTTTTGTCGTTGCGTCGCTGATGGAGGTTAATCGCAGCAACGTCCACAGTCTGTTTATTGCAAGTGGTTTTGTAAAGCTGATGTATACTTTATTTTTTTCTTACGTTTTTCTATATTTTCTTGTCCCTATAGTTTCTTATCTTTCTTTTTTGCAAAGACTTCTCAGCCCTAAATCTTTGCTCTGCGTGGAATCAGTATTGTTTTTTAAAGTTGTATGTAAAGTTGTATGTACTCAGCAACAACACGAAACTTAAGGTCTTCAATTCCTGTGTGATCCCAGTGCTAACTTATGGTTGTGAGAGTTGGAAATCATCAGTATCAATCGATAAGAAACTAGTCGCTTTCGAGAATAGATGCCTCCGAAAGCTATTGAATGTTCACTGGTCGGACTTTAGGTCCAATACATCTATAAGACAGGAAACAAAACAAAAATATGTGTCTGATTTTATTAGAATGCGTGGCTGGAATTACATCGGTCACGTACTCAGAATGGACATACAGAGACTTCCCCACCAAGCCTTCATATGGTCACCAGAGGGTAAAAGAAAACAGGGAAGACCAAAAGAAACTCTCCGTAGAACCATCACAAGGGAGAGCTCAACCATAGGTCTCAGTCGCACTCAAGACCTACATCAAGTGGCAACGAACCGACAGACGTGGAAAGCTATGACCTCTGCCCTATGCGCCATCTTTGGCACAAGAGGAATAACTAACTAACTAATGTACTGTCTGTATTTATCACTTTTAGGGTGGTGTAAGTCAAAAAGAGAACCTATTTATTGTTCATATCAGAAGGAGAAAGCTGGAGTACGTCGTGAAGTTGAAAAACAAAAGTTAGAGGGGTAAAGAGACAGAGGGAGACCGAGAGAGAAGATGTGAACATCATGGCATGGAAGATCATTTGTGTCGAAATTGACTGAAAGTATACGAGATAACGTTATGCGTCACCCAACTTTAGTCCCAATTCACGCAATCGGGTTAGCGTCAGACACTGATCACTATCCGCCAGCTCAGTCTGTACAGCGTTGATGATATCAGCCCACCCCCTGCTTGTTGTGGTACAATGTATGTTGGCAACCGAGTTAAACTACACGACCACATGTTTCCAAATGAAATTTAGGGCTGCTGCCACCACAACAAAAACAGATAAAGTAGTAAAGTATCCCTGCTGTATGTGTGTATATAATTACATGCAACAACAACAAAATAGCTACACTTCATTTCCAGCCGCAATGGTCTAGCGACTGGACGCTCGTCTGGGGATCGGAAGGTCGTGGGTTCGTTTCCTGACAGGGGCCAGACTTGACCAAAAATGCCCTTGGCTCCCAGGTCGACCCAGCCTTAAATGGGTACCAGTGAAGTAAAGGCCACCGGCGTGTTGCTGACCACATCACCCACCAAGCGCCGTTGGTCTATAAAATAAAGGTCTAGCCCTATACACCTAATACGCCTGAAAGGCTTGAAAAAGGATCCTTTACATTATTTTGTTTACACTTCATTTCAAGTTGGTCCCAAGACAACTACATCATTCATTTGGTTTTATTTGTTTTTACTCTCTTTAACTTACTAGTGTCTACTAACGGACTCCTTCCGTATTACATGCAGAGAGCATAGAACCCGGGTATGTTGTGAATGTGAAGCTGCGTTCACTATCCCAAAGCCACCGCGCCGACTGTACATTTGTATCCATTAGGGAATGAGTTTCTACCGTTATGTGACTGCATGAAGTCGGTTTCCCATGGCTTGCTGTTATCTGCACTCAAGCTTATCTAAGCGGACGCAATCACGTGTTAGAGCTAATTCCTCTTGTGTAATAATCTATCAGCAGAGTTGTCTGATGTCTGCCGAGTGCGTTGTCTTGGATGGAGACACATGTCTCGACTCTTGCTTCAGTAGAAATAATAGGGTAGTTGTAGCAGACTTGTGAATTTGTGTCGTCTAGTAGTTTTAGTAGTACTAGTAGTAGCAGCAGCAGCATTAAAAGCAGAAGCAGCAGTATTAATAGTAGTATTAGCAGTAGTAGTAATAGTAGAAGTGATTTTGGTGTTGGTACTTGTGGTAGTATAGTAGTAGTAGCAGCAGTAGTAGTAGCAGTAGTAGTGGTTGTGGTGGTGGTGGTAGTAGAAGTGGTTCTGGTGTTGGTACTTGTAGAAGTAGTTGTAGCAGCAGCAGAAGCCGTAGCTGCAGATCTACGTACTGTGGAGAGCAGTGTGAGGAGATGAAGATAAATAGATAAAAAGACATGCAAGCAGGCAGAGGGACAGACTGACTGACTAACTGACTGACTAGAAGAGAAATAGACAGACAGGCGGTCAGACAGTCTTTTAAAAAGACAAAGAAAGAAGTTAGAAGTCGCATGAAATATAAATCAGT